AGTGTCACTGGCCCTCATATGTGGGATCCGAACTGGGGCCCTCTGGCGTCCCAAGCCAGCTCTTAACCATCACGCCACTCGGCCGGCCCCGCCTCTAAACCAATTTAAATGACACGTAAGCCTACCTGTTCCATCTTCTCTTCCACTATTGCAATACGTCTTCAAAATGAAGATAAATGACAAACCTGGCAACTGTTCCCCACCCAAGATCATGCTGTTGCTAAAGTTTGCATCTGTTCTAGTTCTGTCTGTTGAATATTATTGGGGCAAGAACTCAGACTTCCCTACTTTATCAAGTATAACACACTCTGAAACCCTCCAGTTTCCTTTTCCCCCACAAGACCCATCGCTGAGTGGGCTGGGATGGCCCTGTCTCGCCCATCTCTTCATGAGTCACTTTACTTCTGTATTCTCAGTGAGGAGTGAAGGGATATGTAGGCACAATAAGCACTTCTCTCTCTCTCTCTCTCTCTCTCTCTCTCTCTCTCTCTCTCTCTCTCACACACACACACACACACACACACACACACACACACACACACACTCTCGTTCCCTCCCTCCCTCCCTCCCTCCCTCTCTCTCTCTCTCTGTCTCTCTCTGTCTGGGGAAGGAAGCTAAATATTACATTCTATCTAGACTGTTAGGAAAACTTTCTGGAGCAGATTGGCAGATTTTCCTCTAAAACTAGAGAATGATGGGAGTGTCACAAATGGAAATGAGAAGGTCTGAGGAAATGGGCTGACAGTTTTCTTAAAACACAGTTGGGGTAGTGCGCTTATCAGGAAAGGGTTAGGGGAGGATGAAGAGGGTAAAAGGAGTCAGTATATGGCAACGGAAGACTAGACTTTGGGTGGTGAACACACAATCAAATATACAGATGTTGTATTATAAAATTGTATATACCTGACACTTATATAATGTTATTAACCAGTTACCTCAATACATTTAATTTAAAAAAACAGTTGGGGAAAGTAACCTACAGCCACCCAACTCCAAATTTTAAAAACAGTGAAAACTTTTTTTGGTAAATGATAACCTATGACCTTCTTCCCCTAGGATGAACTTTCTATGCCATAATCATTGGGTCTTTTTTTTAAGTTTATTTTTATATAGTCACATTTATCATTCTCTCTCTCTCTCTCTTTTTAATTGGGGAACAGTGTGTTTTTCAAGGACCCATCAGCTCCAACTCAAGTAGCTGTTTCAATCTAGTTGTGGAGGGCGTGGGAATCGAACCGGCAACCTTGGTGTTATGAGCACCGCGCTCTAACCAACTGAGTTAACTGGCCACCCAGTCATTGGGTCTTTTCATAAGTAACATAATTAGGTTTTCAGGGACCTTTAAAGATTACCAGGATATTTGTCCCTAAATGACAAACCATTGTAATTACCTTTCTCTTTGCTAGAAAATCAACCCATGGAAATCATACCCAAATTCTAAATAGCTGACCCTAATTTTATTTTTTGTGGTTGAAAAAATGTAACAGATAATAACAGTGTTTCTGGGCAAAATCCACCATGCTTAGTGAGGACCGTTTGCTTGTGCATAGCATCTAGAAGTGTGTATACTCCACATTTCTGCCCATTTCTAATTGGGATGCCCACCATTTGCTAGGGGGCTTACGCATCCCTGTTTAGCTTATTTTACCTGTCCCTGGAGTCCAAGGTCTTGAAATTTCAAAATCTAAGATATCGTGACCCCATTGACAGAGCTTCCCGTCCTTCCCCCACTTAGACCACTGGCTGCAGGAGTTCCTTTCCTGACTGCCTTCCAGTGTCACAGGCCTCAGCTCTTGGGCCCTGCCCTAAAGTCTGGGGAATGAAAACCTTTCCCAGATTCTGAAGGTGGGGCTTGCCTGTCATACAGATCCAGCCATACTTCAGCCTGTGCTGCTTAACAGGTGACCTCTGCTGAGTGTCTGGAGACCTTGGGGCAGGTGGATCTACCATCGGCGCCTCATCACATCTTTCTTTCTTCACCTGACTATTCCAACAATAATTCTCCTATCTGACCACTTTTAGGTCCAGTTTTCCTGGCTTACTAGGAGAAAACCTCTTATATTAAGATTGGCAGAATTTCAAACATGTGGTGATGGAAAGAGAACTGACTCTGGGTGGTGAACACACAATGTGATATATTGATGATATATTACAGAATTGTATACCTTAAATCTATGTAACTTGACTGACAATTGTCACCCCAATACATTTTAATTAAAAAAAACAAGATTGGCCGGATTAACAACGGGTGGCCGCTCAGTCCCTCTCTAAGCAGGGAGCACTTGGCCTTCTTTCCTCTCGGGCAGCTACCGACGACGTACGGCCCTGGAATCAAAGTCGAGCCTCCCTAAGAAGCCCTGCCAGCCATGGATGGCAGGTTTCAGCCTTGATTCCTTAGCTCCAAGCCCTAACAAAGGACCACTAGGTGGCAATATGTCTGCCACCATCCCCCCAGAAAATCACCTTGCTCTTGAATCTTAAAAGCTAGAGGGGCTTCACTGCCACATTTATTCTAACCCTCTTTATAGCTAAATAAATAAGCCCAGAGAGGAGTGATTTGAGCAAGAAAGAACTGAGGCTGAAACTCACGTGTGCCATGACCTCTGGCCCTGGGCTTGTTTGCCCGCTGCGCCGCACAGCCCCACATGAGATGCTTGACCAAGAATCACCCAGCGCCTCAGCTGGATTATGTTTCAGGGTGTTGCTGCCAGTCTCCGCTAAATATCTTCCTGTCAGATAGAGAGCCTGAGGCGACAAAGACCTCAAGGAGGAGTGTTTCTTTCTTGTCCAAAATTCTTAGGCTATCTTTATATCTTTATCTGAAAAATGCCTTAGCTTCAAAAGGTGAAATAATTCATGTCTGGGGTCATCAGCCTTAGGTCACGACATTCTTAGCATCCAGGAGTACATGCTACCTCACTCCTCTGCTTCCCCAGGAAACATTAGCACCAATCTGCTAAGTTTCCTCTTCCCCATTACTGATGTTCTCTAATGGATACAAGTAGCTGAAAGCAGACGGTGCGCATTCCTTTTTTCCTTTGTGACCCCAAACCATTGTTTCTAGTCTGACACAGCTACCAAGCTTTGAATGACACACAGGACACAGAGGGGAGAGGTGTTACATAGGAAAGCAGGGGGTTATAGATTCAGGACCCAGCAGCATCCAGCAAACACACTTGAAATGAATTTCCCACATTCCAGCCCAGAACCTCACCCAGTGTCACAAGCTTCAGGCTGCAAATGTTTCTAAGCCTCCCCCTAGTTTCACCTTTTGGAAAATGAACAATTCTTTTATCTTCAATGTTATAAATCCCCAGGGGAAATTTCCCCTCAAAAATCTAGTTACGGAAAGTGCCACATTTCCACCTTCTAACCCATAATCGTCATTTGAAACAGCTTTAAAGCATGGAAAAACTCCAGTACCTGACCA